TAGTGGCCTACACGAACATTAAATCAGATGGTATATTTATCGCGAGTAAACTCCCTATATTTATTCCCCGTCACCGTGCTTTGTGAGTACTTGAGAATAAACAATTTCTGCCTTTTGCCCAAAGAATAAAATTTTCACATTATTTTCTCGTAAATGCTTTTGAGAAGTCAGCGTGAGTTATCGCACCGTTCCCTTTGGGGGAAACCTTACAAAACCTGAAATTTGGCTTTCAATTAAGTGTGTGTTGACACAGGTGAAGGGTAGTCATCCATTTCGGATGCTGGCAAGCAGACAGGGCGATACGCAACATCTGTGTTGTATAGTCTTGACAGTTAGGAAAAGGAAACACTTGGATGCCATCCGGATTTCTAGCTTCTGAGTGAAGCAAATAGATTTTTATTTTATTTTTTTTGGTTCTCAACACAAAGCAAGCCCTCCTGGGGAAAAGCGACATTCTAAAACTGCCCATTGATGTGGACTTATTTCTTGTTGCCTGTGAATCAACACCTAATGATTCATACATATTTTCATTTGATAGGCCAATATTCGCAATGTAATTTGAGTTTATTTGCAGAGGGCTGCGTTGTTTTTATTGAATTCTCGACAGACCTCTTTCTAGAATATGAGAACAAAGGGAGTTCTCGACTTACAAACGTTCTTTTAGTGACCGTTCAGAGTTACAACACCCCTGGAAAAAGTGCCCTATGACTGTTTTTCACACCACTGCAGCATCCCCAAGGTCACAGGATCAGGCCATCAAAATTTGGACACTTGGCAACCGACTCACGTTAATGGCGGTTGCAGTATCCTGGGGTCGTGTGATTTCCTTTTTTGACCTTAACAACTGGGTTACTAACTTAACAATGGCAGTGATTCACATAACAACTGTGGCAAGAAAAGTCATAAAAAACCTAACTTAATAAATGTCTCACTTAGCAACATAAATTTCGGGCTCAACTGTAGTTGTAAGTTGAGGATTACCTGTAAAATCTCATCTTCGCCAGATCAAAGATCCATTTGGTCCATGTATCTCAAACTTTCTCAAACCTTTCTTCCAGATACGTTGCACTGTGACTTCCAACTCTCTAGGTCAGTGGTGGCGAACCTATGGCACGGGTGCCAGAAGCGGCACTTAGAGCCCTCTCTGTGGGCACACGTGCCATCGCCCCAGTCCTAGGCCTTTAGCTGGGTTTTATAAAACCTTTTCGCTTTAGGCCTCCGCCACTGTGTGCAAAAAAAAAAAAAAAAGGTTCAATCAATCAGTCAATTTCAACTTCTTGCGGGAAAAAAAAAGATCTTGCAAAGTTGGAATTGATTGATTGAACTTTTTAGTCCCACCCAGTTTGCCGTTACCACTACAGCCACGCCCACCCAATGGGTCACACCCACCTGGCACCCGACGATGCATAAGTGGGTTTTGGGTTGCAGTTTGGGCACTCGGTCTCTAAAAGGTTCGCCATCACTGCTCTAGGTAGTATGGCCATTTGGAGACATCATTCTTTTAAACATCATCCCTTTAGCAATTATTTCAGCAAGTTGGGTGGCTGGTAGCAGTAAGATGAACTGTTAATCTTCTCTCCTGCTTTCCTCCCTCTTAACTCATTGTTTTCCCCCGCTAAAAAGAACAAACGAGTAAAAGGCTCACTTTTATAATACTTTGGTAAGGCCACACTTGGAATACTGCATCCAGTTTTGGTCGCCATGATATAACAAAGTTGTTGAGACTCTAGAAAGAGTACAGAGAAGAGCAGCAAAGATGATTAGGGGACTGGAGGATAAAACATATGAAGAATTGTTGCAGGACTTGGGGATGTCTAGTTTGATGAAAAGAAGGACGAGGGGGGACATGATAGCGGTGTTCCAATATCTCAGGGGTTGCCACAGAGAGGAGAGAGTCAAGCTATTGTCCAAAGCACCAGAAGGGAGGACAAGAAACAACGGATGGAAACTAATCAAGGAGAGGAGCAACCTCGAACTGAAGAGAAATTTCCCAACAGTGAGAACAATTAATCAGCGAAACAACTTGCCACCAGGAGTTGTGGATGCTCCATTATTGGAGGTTTTTAAGAAGAAATTGGACCACCATTTATCTGAAATGGTATTGGATTTCCTGCCTGAGCACGAGGTTGGACTAGAAGACCTCCAAGGTTCCTTCCAACTCTATTATTCTGTTATTTCTTATTATAGTATTTCCTAGGGATCAGAACACCAAACATTTGGTTCATTGGAACACGGAATCCTCACCTCATTTTTGAGTTTTGACTGGGAGTGTTTTGTTCCTTGTTTAAAACAACTTATTTTGCTTTCTTGCACACCCTTTGAAGAAGGCCTGAAGGATGTCAGCCCCGACTGCAAGCACAGCAATGCACCATGCAATCTTGGAAGCAGTTGGCTTTTCTATTTTTATTTTCCACCCACAGAGTACCTTTTATATATATATACACACAGAGAGAGAAAAACGGGAAAAAAGTGAGAAGGGCAGATTTTTAAAAAATGGTGAAACACAAATGTTATTTGAAAGTGTTTTTGTTTGGACAAGGCCCTTTTTTACCCCATTAAACGTACTTTTTAAAATCTGCACCGCCTTTTATTTTTATCTGAGAATTAATTTCTGTTCCAGAAAGCTCTTGATCCGTTGGGATTTTTGCAAGCGCAGTGCATAGCCAGGCGCATTGCCGGTGCATCAACCGGTTATCAACCAACCGGTTGGTGAAACAAGCTCCCTTTCCCCCAGACACCCCCCTTTTTTCCCATTTTATTTTGGTGGAATCTGCAAGTGGCTTGATGTATTTGACACGTGTGTGACAGCTCCCTGCATATGAGAAGAGCTGTGTGTTAGCCTACCCAGCTGTGTGTGTATTTTGTCTGCACATCAAGCCGGAGAGCACGCGCTTAGTCAGACCTGACAATCACATGTGAGCTGGTATTGCTCCCACTGCAGAGTGCATTTTAATGCCAAGAGCTTAACATTTGACAAAGAAATTGTCAAGATATATTGCTATCCTGCACTTATGCGATATCCTCACTCTAGCAACTCAATATTCTTTTATTGTTCATACATAAAAATAGCTCCTTCTGAAGCCTTTCCCTTCCCTTCTCTTCCTTTCCCTTCCTCTCCCCTCCCTTTCCTCCCCTTCTCTTCCACTTCCCTCCCCTCTTTTCCACTCCTTTACCTTCCCTTCCTCTCCCCTCCCTTCCCTTCCACTCCCTTCCCTTCCTCTCCCCTCCTTCCCTTCCACTTCCCTCCCCTCCCTTCCCCTCCCTCTCCTCCCTTCTTCTCACTTCCTCTCCCCTGCCTTCCCTTCCACTTCCTTCCCTTCCTCTCCCCTCCCTTTCCCTCCTCTCCTCCCTCTCCCTTCCCTTCCACTTCCTTCCCTTTCTCTCCCCTCCCTCCCTTCCACTTCCCTCCCCACTGCTCCCTTCCATTCTCTTCCGCTTCCACTTCACTCCACTCCCTTCCTCTCCCCTGCCTTCCCTTCCACTTCCTTCCCTTCCTCTCCCCTCCCTTTCCCTCCTCTCCTCCCTCCCTTCCCTTCCACTTCCTTCCCTTTCTCTCCCCTCCCTCCCTTCCACTTCCCTCCCCACTGCTCCCTTCCATTCTCTTCTGCTTCCACTTCACTCCACTTCCTTCCCCTCCCCTCCCTTCCACTTCCACTTCCCTCCCCTCCCCTCCCCTCCATTCCCTTTCCTCCCTTTCCCTCCTCTCCACTCCCTTCCTCTCCCCTTTTCTCTCCTCCCTTCCCTATCACTTCCTTCTTTCTTCCTTCTCTCTATCCCCTCCCCTCCCTTATCATCTTTCCTCTACCTCTACCCCTTCCACCGATAAATTCATCCCAACCGTCACTCTTCTTCACCAAATAAATAAGCCTGGACTTGGGGCAGTTTGTCAACCTTGTCTAAGGCTTTTATGACTGAGTCGTGCCTTCTCCGGTATGGATTCGCCGTTCCTGCCCACATTCCCGTTTTATTCCACTATTATATTGAATTCTGCTGGTGAAGACAGTCTGGCTGGAATAAAAACGGTGCGAGATAAGCTTTCTTTGAGTACGACATGCTCAATTCAGAGAAGGCAAAGGCTACATGGTTTGGATAAAAAGGATGGTAGCTTTTTTTCCCCTCTCCCTTTGACGGTCAAAGCTGCCGGGTCTTATGAAAAAAAATCACATTAAGCCACAGTCAGATTTTCAGGCAAAGGACTCAGCCTGGAAAATGCCTTTTAGCTCACTGCAGTGAAGTTTTAAACTCCCATTAAGTCGTGTAACATGATGCAGAAAATAAAGACACTCAAGGAACATAGAGCAGCCGAGATGTAAACAGGGAAGAAATGCATTGCATCTTTCCATTTGAACTTGATTTTTCATTCTTTCTTTTGATTAACAGTTTATTTCTCTTCCTCTCTCAACACTCCACTGGGACTCACCTAAAATAAGCTTCTCTGGAAGTGTTCTCCTTTGGAACAATAGAACTTGCCTCTGAGAGAATGAGCAGAGATCAGCAGAGTTGAAAAACACCTAACTGCTTTGGCTGATCCAAAAAAAACTGAGTCCTTTGGATAGGAAAAAGACTGTAGACCAAATTGAAATCTGGAAAAAAAAAATATTCTCAGGGGGGAAAAAAAGAAGTGACAAAAGTCACATCTATAGTCCAGGAAGTCATAGAGCTGCACCTAGATATAAAGGGAGTTTTATCGTAGCTTAAATATTCACTGCAAGCCATCTTTGCTTGGAATAGAACTAAACCGATCCCAAATAGATTAGATTTATTGAAACTGGTGAGAGGTATGTATCTTAAATCACATCATTTCTATTTACTCTCAAATTAGGTGATATTGGGAAAGAAGAATCTTTTACTTCTGTTGTATATTTGCTCTCTTAATCCTTCACATTTTGAATGTTCTGCGGGTTTGTTGTGTTTCCATAATTTTTTGTAAGAAATCTGGAGAGCTTTTGCTAGAGGTTTGAATCTTACTCACCCTCAAATAATTGTTCTTGTCTTTTTAGAAACGTAAACTTCTGGATGAAATTGGTGAGAGCTGCCTTCCGTATTTGACGCCAAAAGATGCAGGTTTCCATGAACTGGTAAGGTTCAAAAAAACCAATGTAATATATTTTGAGAAACCTTGATAATATATTTGTTTGTCTTTTCTTTCTTTTCCCATCTTGTTCTTGATTACTTCAGCTCGCTACTTAGTGAGAGAACAAGAGGAAATGTCCAAAATCAAAATTGATTAAGCAAATATCTCCAAGCGGATTAAAGGAGAGCAATGAAAGGTGATTTGGTTTTATTGCCTGGTTTCCTATAAGGCCAAATTGGACTCTTAGTTTCATTTTCCGTTTATTTGCAAAGTAAATAAATGAAGGTGGTTGCCCCTCCTGAAGTTTGTGGTCTCCACCTTTCTTGGTGTCCTCTCTATAAATACAGTAGCTGGTATATGGGTTTGACTCAATTATGAAGGTGAGTTTGAAGAGAAAGGGACGTGATACAGAAAAGTTTGACTTGATCTGGATAAACGTTTCCGTCCTAGTAAGATAGGAAACCGAAGTGGCGCAGCAGTTAGAGTGCAGTACTGCAGGCCACTTTAGCTGACTGTGTTCAGCAGGTCAGCGGTTCAGATCTCACCGGCTCAAGGTTGACTCAGCCTTCCATCCTTCCGGGGTAGGTAAAATGAGGACCCAGATTGTTGGGGGCAATATAAATATATATATATACATTGCTTACTGGTGTACACCGCTTAGAGAGTGCTTGCACTTAAAAAGCGGTATATAAGTCTCATAAATAAATAAATAAGATAAGAAACCTGGGCCAGAGGAGAATATGAATAGGCATAAATCCATATTGGTAAAAAAAAAGGATACTGAAGAAATTGAAAAGTATGCAAACTTTTTCCTTGGTCAAATATGAAACACATGGGGAAATGTGGGTAAGTTCTATCCAATTAAGTGGGAACATACTGAATGAAAGACATAAAAATGAACCTTTTTCTCACTTGAACAGCTATGGCAGGAGTTCCTATATTATCGCCATGTCAACTTTTCTTATGTTGACATGTGGTCGAAAGATGCATTTTTAATGGCCCCTAGCTTTCCCCTCCCACTGTTTCAGGGAGAAAAGAATGTTTTCCTTCTGCCTTTTTCTCCCTAAGATTGATGGAAGAGGATTATTCTTTTTTACAACGTTTGAAAATGTATCACTTAACATCTGTCAAGAAAAGTTGTATAATTCAGATTTCGACATTGTGCTTTACCTACAAAAGATCTCAAGGTTATTGAGATAGGAGTCAGAAGACCTCAGACTGAAAGTGTAGAGAACTTCCACCAATTTGGCATTCTTAAAAATGTCATATTTGTTGAGTATTTGGGGTGGGTGGGTGGGTTAATGTCTTAACCTATCTAGAAAGTATCAGCTTAGGAGTGTTTGTAACTTTCTATAGTTCTGGTTACCTTATAGTATACTCTTTCCATTTTCTTTTTCTATATACTTGAAATACTCTCTGTAATATACTTCTAAAATTATCTTCTGTTGGACTCTTTAAGTGTGACAATAACATGATAATGAAAGTACTGGAAAAACTATAAAGGGAATTATTTGAGTAATCGTTGCTGTGCCCACACAACACAAAACCAGAGCATGTTAAGGTTTGGCGTGACAGGGGAATCCAGGTAATTGTTGGTTATTCTTTCTTAAGCGAAAGCAGGCATCAATAAATAACAGATTTATTTGATGAAAATTATGTATTGGAATTGAAAAAAATGTTGATTTTTTAAGATTGGGATGGTTTTAATAATTAATGGAGTGTTTTAACTTAGATGATTATTTTTTGTATAATAACATAGATGTGATAAGGTATGACAACCAATTGGATGAAATTTGAAGTTTCTGTAATGAATTGAAGTGAATTAACATTATTTCTTAATTAAGATAGCTATTGTGTAATGGAAGAAGAAATAAATGAGATTGGTGATAAAAGGAGGGATGAGAGAAATTAAGAACTAGAATATATCTGGAAGGGATACCTGAATTGATAACTTGTTGAGTTAAAGTGAAATTTGATTTTGGTAATTGTAAACTGATAAAGTTTTAAAACAGGTTTAGTAATAGAAATTTAATTTAGAAATGGAATATTTTAAACGTATTATGTTATTTGAGGGAAATAGAGAGGAGACAGTGAATGTATTGAGTTGAGTTGTTTATTTATGTTTTTACTTTGGAATGTCTGATTACCCAAACACCACGGTGTGTCCTGAGTACTTTTTCTTAAAAACTAAAAAAACAATAAAATATTTTCAAAAAAATAAATAAATTCTAAAACTTTTCTCTGAGCGAAAAAAAAAGCAAAGGGGTCTGTTCCTTATTCTATTCTATTCTATTCTATTCTATTCTATTCTTGTTCTTATTCTATTCTATTCTATTCTATTCTATTCTATTCTATTCTATTCTATTCTATTCTATTCTATTCTATTCTTGTTCTTATTCTATTCTATTCTTGTTCTTATTCTATTCTATTCTATTCTATTCTATTCTATTCTATTCTTGTTCTTATTCTATTCTATTCTATTCTATTCTATTCTATTCTATTCTATTCTATTCTATTCTATTCTATTCTATTCTTGTTCTTATTCTATTCTATTCTTGTTCTTATTCTATTCTATTCTATTCTATTCTATTCTATTCTATTCTATTCTATTACTGTTCTGATTCTATTCTATTCTTGTTCTTATTCTATTCTTGTTCTTATTCTATTCTATTCTGTTCTATTCTATTCTATTCTATTCTATTCTATTCTATTCTGTTGGAAAATGTCAAACGAAAGACCTAAAAAACCCCAAATCCTTTTCTTAGTTTGAACAGCTAGAACAGCAGTTCTTCCTTAAGGATCTTTTTAGGATTAAGTCTCCATGTAGGCAGAAGTCATCAGGTTGGGCATCCAAATTGGGAAGGTCGCCATTTAGAAACATCTAAATATCTTGATCCAAATGTTATTATCTCCCCGCAGAGAACTGAAGCGGCACCTCGATTGGCCAAAGATGGCTTGGCCAATCTTGTGGGGCTGCCGTTGTCGCTTGAGTGACAAGGTCATCTTGACTGAAAGGAAAAACAAAAACAGGCTGTCTATGATTTGTAGACAGCTAAAAATATATCACTTGACCTCAGGTTGCTCTGAGCGTGTTAAATGTTGTTCTGGGATAACGGGCATGTTAAAAAAATTAAGCTTGAAAAACTTTTGTATGCTTTTTTTGTTTTTGGGGGATTCATTTAGGGCTGCTTTGATCTGTGCAAAAAAGCGGGGCGACTTTTAATAGTAGCTGTCGGAGATAGCAGCAGAAGAGACGTGATTTTTGTTCCTTCAATCAGTAAGAATGGCCACTACGAGCTCGGGGTGTGTGTGTTTCCTTTCTTTCGTTTTTTTCCCCCTTCCTCTCTTTTTCTCTCAACCTCTTTTTGTCTTCTGATCTCTTAATGTTTTCCTCATGTAGGACAAAGCAGGATGCCTGGCTAGAGAATGGAAGAAGCCTGATTGGTATTTTCGGATGATGCGTTAGAAATATGTTTCCATTTCCTCTTTTGAAGGAGAATATTTGCAGCTCAAGATTGAAATGAGGGGGGTCTTTGGTGCTCCCTGAGCTTGCTTGTTTTAGTAATAATAAAGTTGGAAGGGACCTTGGAGGTCATCTAGTGCAACCCCCTGCTCAGGCAGGAAATGGCTGTCCAGTCTCTTCTTAAAAACTTCCAGTGTTGGAGCATTCACTGCTTCTGGAGGCAGGTTGTTCCACTGGTTAATTGTTCTAACTGTCAGGAAGTTTCTCCTTAGTTCCAGGTTGCTTCTCTCCTTGATGAGTTTCCATCCGTTGCTTCTTGTCCTGCCTTCAGGCGCCTTGGAGAATAGCTTGACTCCCTCTTCTTTGGGGCAGCCCCTGAGATACTGAAATACTGCTATCCTGTCCCCCCTCGTCCTTCTCTTCATTAAACTAGCCATACCCAATTCCAGCAACCGTTCCTTGTATGTTTTAGCCTCCAGTCTCCTAATCATCTTTTCTTGCAGATGTTTCATGACCCAAACTAGGAAACATTCTAGTTTCCTAGTTTGGGTCATGAAATGCCTGCAAGAAAACAAGCAAGCTCAGAGAGCACCAAGGACTCCTTAGTTACTCTTTTCTTAAAAAAAAAAAAAAAAAGATTTCTTTTAAAGCACGGAAACCAGGCAGGCAGTATTTAAGATGTATTAATAGGATGCTTAACTTCACAAGTCCAAAGATACTGTATCTTATTTAAAAGTAAAGTTTCTTTCGGGGACAATGCAGGTAGTCCTCGATTTACGATCACAGCTGAGCCTCAAATTTCTGTTGCTAAGCGAGACAGTTTAGTAAGTTTTGCTCTATTTTATGACCTGTCTTGAAACAGCTGCTAAATGAATGACTGTAATTATTAAATAGGCAACTTGGTTAAGTGAATCTGGTCTCCCCATTGACTTTGCTTGCCAGGAGATCGCAAAAGGGGATCCAGTGACTCTTGGACACTGCAACTCTCATAAACATGAGTCAGTGTCTGAATTTTGATCATGTGACCATCGGGATGCTGCAATAGTTGTTAACTGTGAAAACCAATTATATGTCACTTTTTCAGAGCCGTTGTAACTTAACAAACTGGTAAGTCGAGGAGTACCTGTATAGTCACAATTAGTATATAAATACTGGCTGGCCAGTGTCGCCTTCTGGGATATTTTCTCAACTTCCTTGTCTAGCAAGGATGTTGAGTAATTGCCCCAAAAGTGAGCTACTTACTAGAATAGAAGAGAATAGAGAATAGAGAACAAATAGAGAATAGAAGAGAACAGAACAGAATAGAGAACAGAATAGAATAGAATAGAATAGAATAGAATAGAATAGAATAGAATAGAATAGAATAGAATAGAGAATATAGAACAGATAGGACAGAATAGAGAATAGAACAGAATAGAATATAGAAGAGAACAGAACAGAACAGATAGAACAGAATATAGAATAGAATAGAATAGAATAGAGAATATAGAACAGAACAGAGAATAGAATAGAATAGAATAGAGAATAGAGAACAGATAGAACAGAATAGAGAAGAGAATAGAATAGAATAGAACAGAACAGAATAGAATAGAATAGAGAACAGAACAGAACACAATAGAGTAGAGTAGGGTAGGGTAGGATAGGATAGAATAGAATAGAATAGAATAGAATAGAATAGAATAGAATAGAAACTTTATTGTCACTTTAAATGTACATTAATCACCATACATTAAAATGAAATTTCGTTGCATTCAGCTCTCAAAACAATACCATTTTGCACATACCCACATACACGCACATATATGACACAGAGAAATATCACAATCTAGTTCAAATGTTCAAATCTTAACTGTTGAAGATCAGTCAAGTTTGGTTTAATGACTGCCAGCATCTGCCATTATCTCTTCCTTGGCTGGCATTAAGAAATACGTCTGACAAGATTAGCTCCTGTGTTTAACAGGAAGAGTGAGATGTTATGACCTCCAAAGAAGTGGGCCATGTTTTCGCTTAGATGTTCTGTTACGTTGTGCAGTTGTTTTTGGCACTTGTCTGATTCTTTCGGAGAGATATGGGCAACTACCCATGAGGAAGTGCTATTTTGCTGTTGTTATCTGTGGGGCTCCTGTTGGCATGCACTATTCTGCAAATAGCCATATGTGAGACCTCGTTTGTGCAATTGGACCTGGTGGGACAAAAAGTCTTGCTATTAACCTACTATTTTTCCTGCCAGAGCTGCTCCACCTAAATATTGGTATGTTTGTGTAGCTCCTCAAACTGATGATATGGAGAGGATATCAACCCACCTTCCCTGGAGGAGAAATCTGTTGTGTCCTATCCACTGCAACCCTAGACTGGGGTCAGCCTGTTGAAGGCCCAATGCACATAAAAGGTCATACACTTAAGATCTGCTTTCCATCTTGGGGCAGAAGCAGTGTGGTTTGAAAATTTGGGGAAGATGTCCACTGAGCTTGGCGTCTTGACATGGACAGATCCCTCTCTATGGCGTTTCACAGTGGTGATCCTTCTCTTCATTGAGGAAGTCCTAGTAGATCAGTTAGCCCAAGGTCTCTAATGGATCCATGGGTTTTCAGAGGGCACTTGAGCAGTTTCCAAAGGATTAGATGTCCCCAAGGTCCTTTTTTCAAAAGGGAACTGGACTTTCTTCATTTTTCCTTGAAGACATTTACTTCTCATTCAAGAAGCTTCTTCAGTTCTGAAGAAGGAGAAGGAGGAGAAGGAGAAGGAGAAGAAGAAGGAGAAGGAGAAGGAGAAGGAGAAGGAGAAGGAGAAGGAGAAGGAGAAGAAGAAGAAGAAGAAGAAGAAGAAGAAGAAGAAGAAGAAGAAGAAGAAGAAGAAGAAGAAGAAGAAGAGAAGAAGAAGAAGAAGAAGAAGAAGAAGAAGAAGAAGAAGAAGAAAGAAGAAGAAGAAGAAGAAGAAGAAGAAGAAGAAGAAGAAGAAGAAGAAGAAGAAGAAGAAGAAGAAGAAGAAGAAGAAGAAGAAATTGAATTGAAGAAACTTCTTGTATGAGAAGCTAAACGTCTTCAAGGAAAAACAAAATAAGTCCAGTTGCCTTTTGAAAAAAGAAGCACCTTTGGAACAACCATGACCTGGATGACTGAGAATGTCCGTAGACAAAGGATCAGATGGGTAATTCAGTTGAAATCTTTCTATACAACGCTCCCTCCAGCATAAGCATCAAACATATATCAGAATGATTTATCTTTTCCTTTTCTTTTTAGTGGGAGACTAAATATTCCAAACTTCTTCTCAAGAACTCCGAAAAGATCCCTCGAGACATTCACAAAGAAGTCCAGACAGCCTTTTCCACTTTGCGAAAGCATGTTTGTTTCTTCCAAGACCTTGTAAGGATCAAAGGGAAGGATTTTGTTACCCCCGTGTCTCGTATATTAATTGGGAACCCAGGGTGCACTTACAAATATTTAAACACAAGGTTATTTACAGTCCCGTGGCCTACAGAAGGCTACGACATCAACTATTCAAATCCTGAAATATCTCTGGCTTGTAAAGCCTTCCTCCGGCTGAATGACTACTTGCAGAGAGAATCTTTGCTGAGTTTGCGGGATTTGGCCGAGACACCCGGAATGCAGAATTCACCCCTCGGGGACGGGAATCAAGATTACGCTCCTAACATTACCGAGATGGAAGCTGTTTTGCAAGATCAAAACCCTTCTCCGGTCCCAAAGAGTGACTCCACTGTCCTGGAAGAGAGAACATCTTACAACCTGACGTTATTAAATTATATGGATCCCCAGGAAATGCCGTCCTTGAAACCGGAGCCCTATTTTGGCATGGGGAGAATGGCTGTGAGTTGGCACCACGATGAAAACCTAATGGAAAGGTCAACAGTGGCAGTCTACAGTTACAGCGTGGAAGGTGGGTTGAGCCGTTGAGCTAGCTAGGTTAACAAAGTAAATCTTGTTTGAAGGTGGAAGGGGGGGGGAAACTTTCTGTAAGCAAAAGCCATTTTGGCCTCCAGGTTCAGGTGACCAGGAAGACCTTGCTTCAACCTCCCCCCCCCCAAAAAAAACCTTGTGGGATCCCAAGAAGAAAAACGGGCAGGCATAGGGCAAAAACGTAACTTGATCTCATTAAGGATTTATTGTAGGAACACCAGCTTAAGAACAGTTAATATGTACTGATGCGGTGGTTCTCAACCTGTGGTCCATGAACCCCTGGGGGGCCCACAATGTCACGGGGGGGGGTCCATGAAGGCTTGACAAAAAGGTTACTGTTTAAATCTTGAGTTAGGTCTTGGGCCTCCGTGGCCACAAAAGGTATTTAAAGGGGGGGGGTCCATGGTGAAGGAAAGGTTGAGAACTGTTGTTGTTGTTGTTAATTGCGAAGTCGTGTCCGACCCATCGCGACCCCATGGACAACGCTCCTCCAGGTCTTCCTGTCCTCTACCATCTTCTGGAGTCCATTTAAGTTCACACCTACTGCTTCAGTGACTCCATCCAGCCATCTCATTTTGAGAACTGTACTAATGTATTAATTTATATAATATTACATACAGGTAGACTTTGACTTACCGCAGTTTCTTTAGTGGCTATTCAAAGCGACAACGGCACTGAAAAAAGTGACTTATGACCGTTTTTCACAGTTGCGACCATAGCAGCCTCCCCAGGGTCACGTGATTAAAATTCCGACACTGGGCAACTGGCATGTACTTAAGACGGTTGCAGTGTCCCGGGGTCACGTGATTCCCTTTTGCGACCTTCCAACAAGCTAGATTCAATGGGGCAAGCCAGATTCACCTAACAACTGTGTTACTAACTTAAGAGCTACAGTGATTCACTTAACAGCTGTGAGAGAAAGGTCGTAAAATGGGGCAAAACTCCCTTAAGAACTGTTTCACTTGGCCAAGGAGATTTTGGGCACAGTTGTGGCTGTACGTCTAGGACAGTGGTTCTCAACCTGTGGGTCGGGACCCCATTTGGGGTCGAACGACCATTTCACGGGGGTCGCCAAACAAGGCTGTCCGCCATTTTTTCCCCCTTTTCTTTGGCCACACCACTGGCACCCGGTGATGTATAAGTGGTTGGGGGTCACCACGACATGGGGAACTGTATTATGGGGTCGCGGCATTAGAAAGGTTGAGAACCACTGGTCTAGGACTACATGCTCATTACACATATTTTATGTACATTATGCTACCTATAAAAATGAGAAAAACTTGGTGGCTGGTTTTCACGGGCTACAGAGTGTCCTTAACTGCCCTGGGGCAGTTCTGCTTAACAACATTTTGCAGACTCATCACTTTGGCTGGTAGGCATGCCTAGAGTTAATTCCTTTTGGGAGCTTAGTTTTTGCAAAAAAAAAAAACGCCTGCAGCTTTGCTATATATTTGCAAAACATTTGGTTTTTTCCTGGGGCAAGTAGTTTGTTCTTCCCTCTGTATCTTTCTGGATATTTGGAGGAGGTAGGAGAGATGGAAGAATAAAAGAGAAAAAGAAGGGGGGGTCAAACCGAGCGAGCGAGGCGATTTTGCTATTGCCGGGCTTATCTCGAGCACTTTAAGTGGAGTGAAAAATTACTATAATTAAACTGCTGATCAGGAGCCAAGGAAATCCAACCCTGACAATCTCCGTGCAAACATTTTCTCACAGATCCGTATTTCCAAGGCATCTACTCCGTGTTTCTCTCTGTGTGTGTGTATTTGAGCCAACGTGACACCTCCTTCTATTGGACCTGATTTGTTGGCAACGGACTTATTTCAATCTTCTCTCTTTTCTTTGCACAGACTAAGCAAGCCACAGTATGCTGTGGCTCGGGAAGAAATTCACCTTTGTTTGTGAATTCACGTTGTGCGGATTCTTGTCCCAATGTGCGAAACTGTTATGGTCCTGTTAGATGCCATAGCTTGGAAAATGGGGGTCTTCTACGTGGAGGATAAGGGTGCAGGAGTTTCAGTGTGAGGTAGTGTATTCATGGGTAGTTGCCCTGAGTCACCTTTACCTCTTTAGTAGATATGAACAGAAGATGACAACTTGTCAGCAACGTGATGTGCTAAGGCAGGGGTAGGCAACTTTGGCTCTTTTATGACTCATGGACTTCAACTCCCAGAATTCCTGAGACAGCATGGCTGTCTCCCCGGGCTAAGGAAACCATATGTGATGGGACCTATATCACGATAGAACAGTGGTTCTCAACCTTTTTAATGCCGCGACCCCCAACCGGTCGTGAGTCGAGGACTACTCAACCGGTCGTAAGTCGAGGACTACTCAACTGGTGCAGCACCGCTTGCAGACTGGGACTTTTGGCGGGCTCAGCAGGGCAGAGACAGCCTGGACAATTCCTATTGGCTTTTGAAAGCCAATAGGATTAGACTCTATTCAAGAGAGTCTATTCTATTGGCTTTCAAAAGCCAATAGAATAAAAGGGAGTAGTACAGCTAAGGAAAAGGGGGAAAAAATGGTGGACTGCGTTGTTTGGCGACCCCCGTGAAATGATCGTTTGACCCCAAATGGGGTCCCGACCCACAGGTTGAAAACCACTGCGATAGAACGTGCTATGAACAACTTTAGATTAGATTAAGGCTGTTGAAGCTCTGTTGCATCTGATGCTGAGGAACTACAATTCCCAGAATCCCTTGCGTGCTGTCTGAAGCTTTTGGGCATTGTAGATTGGGGAAGGAAGACTTGGGCCAAATCATCTGCCAACATCTCACGTTCCTTAGCTCCTGTGTAGCGTGTGGCTGATGTTGTGTTGTGTATTCCTATCCGATTTATTTCCTATTTTCATCGTGCTCCATAATAGTAAGGAATTAAGAGAGAACATTTCTCATGAATTATCTGCCCTTCCAGAAGTTTAATATATGGTGTACCTCTTCCCAAGATCAACACCAATGGATGAAAAGTGGAAGGAGAGGGGACCAGGCCTGTGGACCGAATCAAATAGTAGAAAACAGCAGGGATCATATCAAGTTAGGCATTTAAACCAGGCATGACCTGGTTTAACAAATACAGGTATGACCTATGACCACAAACTTCAGTGCGGATATAAACTCTGCCATTTACGAGATAGATCTGTAATTGGAGATGCCATTTGGCTGAGAGATTTCTCTGCTGGTTCCCCTTGAAATAGGTAACTTTGGTTAAATTGGGTGGATTTTTTAAAGTGTTGAGTTCTTCTGGAGGGGCCCTGTGAACACTTCAGTGTGCACAGATCTTCTGCTCAATCAATCAATCAATCAATCAATCAGTATAGAGCTGGAAGAGATCTTGGAGGTCTTCTAGTCCAACCCCCTGCTATCCCATTTCAGACAAATGGCTGTCCAGTCTCCTCTTAAAAACTTCCAGTGTTGGAGCATTCACCGCTTCTGGAGGCAGATTGTTCCACTGGTTAATTGTTCTCACTGTCAGGAAGTTTCTCCTTAGTTCTAGGTTGCTTCTCTCTTTGGTTAGTTTCCATCCGTTGCTTCTTGTCCTGCCTTCAGGTGCTTTGGAGAATAGCTTGACTCCCTCTTCTTTGGGGCAGCCCCTGAGAGATTGGAACACGGCTATCCTGTCACCCCTCGTCCTTCTCTTCATTAGACTAGACATACCCAATTCCAGCAACCGTTCCTTTTAAGTTTTAGCCTCCAGTCCCCTGATCATCTTTGTTTCTCTTCTCTGTACTCTTTCTAGAGTCTCAACATCTTTTTTACATCATGGTGACCCTAACCCTTCAGTGTGCACAGACTTTCTGCTCAATCAGTCAATCAATCAATCAATCGATCAGTATAGAGCTGGAAGAGAGCTTGGAGGTCTTCTAGTCCAACCCCCTGCTCAGGCAGGAAACCCTGTCCCATTTCAGATAAGTAGCTGTCCAGTCTTTTCTTAAAAACCTTAGTTGCATGCTTTTGAACTGCTAGGCAAAGACGGGAGCTCATCCTGTCGCATGATGCTCGGCTCTTGAACCTGGGCTGCTGACTTCCCAGCTGTCAAGCCCAGCTTCTTAACCATTGATCCACCATGCCGCCCTTAGGTGCACTGGTCTCTCTCCATAAATGGGGAAAATTCTCTTCAGGATGTAGCTCTTATGCTCCAAAACAGACAGTGTGACACACTGTGGAGTGGTGTCCTCTGAAAACATATGGAGGGGGAAACCCCAGAGACTTTCTCTATGCATCTCCATCATGAGTTGACTGTATGAAGAAGTCCACCTTTGAATCTGTAAATAGAGCACATGGTTTCATGTTTGCTCATTGGGAATGCAATTGCGATGCGCCTTTAAACATTTTTGCCGTGTGCTAAATCAATCCATAAAACTGCAGTAGAAGCTTCAACTTCAGTGCAGCTGTAAACTCTGCCATTTACGAGATAAATCTGTAAATGGAGATGCCGTTCGGCTGAAAGATTTTTCCACCGGTTCCCCTTGAAAAAAAAAAGGTAACTGGTTAAATTGGCTGGATTTTTTTTAAAGGTGCCGAGTGCTTCTGGAGGGGCCCTGTGAACCCTTCAGTGTGCCTGGAGATTTTCTGGGAATGCCAGAATCTCAGCCTCTCCTAGCACCTTGCTGATTATGTGCTCGGTTATACGATAGTATTAAACTTGACAAAAGTGTCTTTGTCTCCCAATTTACTCCGCAGAGTTCAATCAATAGCTGCCTTGTGCTCCTCAGCTGGGCTGAATGTGGCGTTAAACCCCTCCTCCCCTTTATTTCATAACTCCAAGGAAACTTTTTCAAAGTACTAATAAGTTGATTAAACGGCAGTGATTAACAGTATTTAACAGAATGTCATAAGTACCTTAGAGGCAGAAAGTCTTTTCTCTGCTTCCAGCAGCTAAGGTTGAATAATTACAAGATGCATTCTCTCTCTCTCTCTCTCTCACACACACACACACACACTCTCTCTCTCTCACACTCTCTCACTCTCTTTCTCTCTCCTCCCT